TTTCTGCATAGGAATGTCCAGATGTTCCACTGGACTGCTGGAAAGACCTTCCCTTCTCGGTTGAGTTGCTTTGTACCTTTGCCAGTAATCAATTAGCATACGTATGTGGCTCTGTTTCCGGCCTCCAGTGTGTTTCATTGATCCATGTGTCTGCCACTTCTCCTGGACCACACTGTCTCAGGGAGCTCTGCTGGACAGCACTGGGAAGGGGTGGCCTGCAAGTCCAGGGTGGTGAGAAGCTCTGCCTCTGTGCTCCTGCCCAGAAGAGGAACAGCCACAGGCTCCCGCCCAGCGCATCAGCTGCATTTCCGATGCTACCCATTCATATCTGCTTGTGCTTGTCTATGTCCTCCAGATTATGAGAGTGTAACACATTCTCTAAGTTAAAAAGTAAACAAGCATTTCTTATGTGTGTATATGCACACATGCACACAGCTGTGCTCTCCCTTAGGCGGCCACCGACCACACATGGTTTTGAGTCCTGGAAACGTGGCTCCTCTGAACTGAAATGTGCCCTGAGGGTAAAATACGCTCCAGAATTTGAAGGCCTTGTATGAAAATAAGAACATAAAGTATCTCGTAAATAATTTTTAAAATACTGTTCACATGTTGAAATGATATTCTGGACACATTGGCTTAAATATATCATTAAGATTAATCTCACCAATTTCTTTTTTCCTTTAAATCTTTTCCCATGAAATTTTCTCATTATGAGACAATGCGACATCACATTTGTGGCTCACATTTATATTTCTATTGGACAACCCTGGTCTAGAAGAAATGTTAATAATAGTAATCAAAGTGTCAATAATGATTCCCTCTAGGTTGTAGGATTACAGGTCGTAGTTGTTGATATTTTTATTATATTTTGCTTATCTGTATTTTCAATTGTTCTAATGTGAATTTGTATTAGCAAAAGAAAACCATTTCCAAGCATTTCAAAAGCAAGTTATTCAGCTTATAGACACAGCTGTTCTCAAGTAGGAATATTTGTGGATCAGTGTACACATACGTGAGCACACACACAGGTGAGCACAAACACAGGTGGGCACACACGGGTGAGCACACACATGGGTGAGCACACACAAGTGAGCACATACAGGTGAGCACACACAGGTGAAAACACACATGGGTGAGCACACACACACACAGGTGAGCAAACACAGGTGAGCACACACATGGGTGAGCAAACACAGGTGAGCACATACATGGGTGAGCACACAAGGGTAAGCACACACAGGTGAGCACACACGGGTGTTTCCTTGTTCTGTCAGTTGAGAGTTCCCAAAGCCAAGAAACTCCAGTGGCAGGGAGCACCCCAGGCTTGTTGGTCTTTCTGGTGATTTGCCCCCTTTCTGAGCCACCTCCTCTCTTAGCATAAACCAGGTGTGATCCAAGGGCTCACGAGTAACAAAGACACTCCTATTACTCAGAAAATTCCAAGGATTAGCATCTCCCTCCCAGAAACCAGGGACAAAGGCCAGTCCGATTCTTTATATACAACAGACACAGAGGACAGAAACAGCAGACCAAGACCTTAAAGTGGATGTTATAACTGCATTCCAAAAGTTCAGGAGAGAAGTAAGCACATAGGAAAGTATGAAAAAGACCCCAGAAAAAACTCTCCAGATGAGCACACAATGTGAGATGAATAACGCACTGAAGGGAGTTGGGCAGATCAGACATTGCAGAAGAAAAGATGAGCAAACTTCAAGACACACCAATTGAAATTAAGAAAAATAAAACATGGAGAGAAAAAAGACTAAAAAAATTGAACAGAGCATCATGTCTGGTATAAAACAATTTTAAGAAGCCAGTTGTATGTGTATTTAGAATCCCTGAGAAAGGAGGAGAGGCTGTTTGATGAAATAATGGCCCAAATTTTTCAAATTTGATGAAAAGATCCAAGAATCTCATTACACCCCAGGTCCAAGAAGGGTAAAGCTGGGCCACGGCACGTCATAGCTCCTGTTGTCTTTGTTTTCATACCGTACTGTGAAAGGGGATAAAGAGAAGGAAAACTAGGCACCGGGACCTCATAAGAAAAGTGACATCTCTTCTTACAAGGACACTAATCCAATGACCCTTATGACCTCATTTAACCTTAATTCCCACTTAGAGGCCCCATCTCCACATACGGCCATGCTGGGGGTTAGACCTTCCACATATCAGCTGGGGGGACATGATTCCTCCATGACAGCTGGACAGACATCAGCAGCGTCAGTAGCAAGACTGGCCTTGACTAGGGGACATCCACACAAGCCTGCTCCCTGCCACCACAGCCACCACACCCATGGCAGAGGCTGGCCAAGCCACTCCGACGTCTGGTGTCAAGGTTTCGTCTGTGCAGACGCTCTGGGTGGGCATCCGTGTATGACGATACAAAGATCTCTGCACTTCAGACCTGCTTTTGTGTGTCCCCACACATCACTCTTCCCCAAATTCCCATTTTCCAACCCTCATCCTTCCCGACTGCTGACCAACTGGAGAAGCCATTTGCTACTGCCCTGGAGGCTGTGTATTTGACCCTTGGGACAGTTCTCTCAACCCAGCGTGGATGACCAGGGCACCGCTGAAGGTCTCGGCGTTGGAAAGAGCCCCCCTCGCCACTGTCTTTCAGAGACATCCTCGAGTGAGGCTGCCACGCGTCAGCGGCTCTGTCCAGCCTGCACGTCTGTGAACCACTCGGCCTCGCTCCCCTGTGGTCAGCTGATCATAATGGAGGGCCCCACCATGTGACCAAGGGCCACCCTTGGCCAGAGCCTGGGCCTGGCCCTCCCAGGGGCCCATGGGCACCAGCCTAGACTCTAGGACCCGATCTCATCTGCAGTCGGGATCCCACCAGGACTCTGACACTCGTGACCCTTTCTATTCAGCACAGGCCACTGCCCCACAGTCCTTGATGGAATCAGGACATCTGCCGCGTGGTCCAGGCACAATTACACAAGCACCTCGCTGACCGATTGTGCCACTGGAGCGCCAAGGCTCTCTGACATCACTCTCTCCTTTCCTAAGACAGATGGGAGGAGGAGCGGAGTGGGGGGCTTCTTGCCCAAAGCTACAAAGTGGGAGAATGGGCGGTGGCAGGGAGAAACTGCAGGAGGACTCTGACCCCAACTTCCTTGGGAGTTGCGTTTGCTCAGCCAGCAGGGGCCCCCATCCTGGGATTGCTTCATCCTGGTCTGGCAGCTGCAGCCCCAGGCAGGGGGAGGACACACTCTCTGCCCCTTCCCCTACTGGCATTGTCGCTAACCGCAAGTTCACCCAACCACACTGGATGGAGTGGCATCCAGAGAGGGCAGGGACAGTAGCTGCTTCCAGGGCAAAGGTCATCCACCGACTTTATTCTCAGGCCCACACCCTCTTCCAGGACCCTCGTTGGTCCCCATCCAGGGCCACTTCCACAAGGAACGGAAGCACAGGCCCGTCTGTCAGTTAGAGGAAAACCTCGTGGTGACCCCAGCCCCATAAGCAGCTACATCCCCTTCTTCAGAGATAGGATCAGGACCAAGGACCTCACCATGGGGGTGGGGGGGGGCATGAATGTGCCTCCATGGATGACTTGAGGCCAAGAATTTGAGACTAGCCCGAGCAACATAGCAAGACCCCATATCTACAAAAAAATAGATAAATTTTTTGAGCATGATGGCACGCCTATAGTCCCAGCTACTTGGGAGGCTGAGGCAGGAGAATTGCTTGAGCCCAGGAGTTTGAGGTTGCTGTGAGCTAGGCTGACGCCACGGCACTCTGGCCCGGGCAACAGAGTGAGACTGTCCAAAAAAAAACACTACGATCATGGGTTTGTCCAATTTTACTTATAAATCTGTTAAATTTTAATTCATATAGCTTGAAGCTGTTTTTAGATGCACTGAGGTTAGAGATTATTATTATTTTTGTGGTGAATTGTTCCTTTTATCACTATGAAATAGTCCTTATACTTAGCAGCAATGCTTTTGTATTTAATTCCATCTTGTTTAATATTAATGCTGCTGCAACAGCTATTTTGGTTACTATTTGTCTTAAATATCTTTTCCTTTCCCTCAAATTTCAACCATTCTTGAAAATGAATTCAACAAGCCATTTGTTAGGTACATTTCTTTTAATAGCACATGAGAGAATGTATGAAATCCACTTTGAGAACTTTGTCTTTTAATTGATATCTAGCCCAGCACAGAACAGGCTCTGGCCTCTACAGCCCTTACATCCGGTCTCTCTGCCCCAGGACCTCCCCACAGCCACTCTTCCTCTCCCCTCAGACACCCACACCTGAAGGGCTGCCCTGACAGCCCCAGCCTGGCTCAGCTGCCCCTTCCCTGGGCAGGGGCCTGCCTGCAGGATCAGGCTCTGCTGCAGTTCCCTGGGCCCGGGCTGTGTACTCCGTGTGGGCAGGGTGCTATGTGTGCCTGCCTCCCTCCCGGCATCTGCAGGAGCCAGCAAGGGCCTAACCGGGAACGGGGCAGAGGAAACAGACAAGGAAGAAGGATGGGGTCTCAGCCCAGCCTGGATACCTGCCCAGCTGCCGTCTCAGCCTGAGGCAGGGATGTCAGCCAGGGCCCCAGAGGGCCCAGAGACGGTCTCTGCCTGGGGAGAGGGAGGGACTTTTCATTCCAACCCCAAATATTTAAAGCCATGACCAGGCCACTGTCAACAGAACGTTAACCTGACATCTGAGCTTGGGCCTCTACTGGAGGAGGAGACAGGCCGGGTGGTCCTGGGGAAGGGGCAGTGCCCTTCCAGAGCCAGGCGAGACCACCTCCCCTTTTCCGGATTATGAGACATGCCTTGTTCCTTTTCAGCCAACACCCTGAGCAGGTGACGGGCTTCAGAGGACCCTGGTCAGAGAAGATGCAGGTGCAGAAGGGGACAGACCTCTAACTTCAAGTCATTGGGAAGAAACTTCTGAGATCAACTTGGAGACCAAAAATATTTACAAGAGTAAAATCATGTTGTGTATTTATTAAACAACAACAACAACAAAAACAAGTAAATAAAAACCAAAACCAAACACATCCTTGCAGTGCTTCTGCAGCTAAGGAAAGCTTGTCTGTACCTGGATGTTAGAGACGATGCTGTAAACCATCAGAATGTGACCTGCTAATGCCAACTGATCATGGTGGATAACATTATTTAAACTATTGCCCAAAATATAAGTTACAGACACGGCCATCACTCTTTAGAATGAGTCCGTATATTTTTATGAATAACGATGTACTAGCCTCATGACTGAAAATGTCTTATCCGGAGACCCTGAGCATTCCCTAGTTCTGTCGCATCCATGGTGGCAGCAAGTGAAAGGACTGGGTGTCTTAGCGTGTGGCTCACTCCCCCCAAAGCTCCTCCAAACAGTGTGAGGCCTCATGACATGGAGGAAACTCTCTTTGTCCTCTAATGCCCCCCTCAGATGGTGCCTCCCCAGCCAGGCCTATTCTCCACCGTCCTCGTTCCTTGCCTCCCCAGAATTGGAGGCGTCCTGACCAGTTGCCTCTTGTGTATTCATCGGCCTCGAAAAGTCCCTCCTGGAACAGACACACAGGAAGGAGGTTAAGGGTAAAAGAAGGGTGGGCACTGAGGCCCTGACACCCCTCGGGGCTGCTCCCACTCCTGGGTAAGAACCATGGAGACCCGCCAGTCTCCACCCTTTGGGGGCATCTTTCCACCCGCTGAGGAGCTCCGGGACGCACCGGTGATATTCAGTGTTGTCAGAGAAGTCATACGTCTTTGCCTTGCGGAGAAACAGGATAGCGAAAACCAGCAGCACGGCATACACCACCAGCCCAGGGATCTAGAAGCAGAGCAGAGGGTTGGGACAAGGGGCTGTGAGCACTGGACCAGGAGGCTTTTGTCTGAGCTGGAAGTGTGGGCTGAGAAGGACCATCTGACTTCAGGGGGTTGGGGTCCCCTGCCCTCTCTCAGCCTCATGGAAGAACATCCCACCTGGTGTCTGTGAGGATCACGTGTGGGATTAAAAGCGTGGTGGTTTCAACACTCCCTGCCAGCGCCCCCCTGAGGGACAGGGTCATCGTGTTTGGGGAAACACCTTGACAGGTGGCTTCAGGTGCGGGGAGGCCTGAGGTGTGGTCTGGAGTCACACAGGGAAAGTGGAGCTGTTCTGTGGAGGACGAGAATAGGAATTTGAGGGTTCAGACAGGCTGCAGAGCGAAAAGCGAGATGGCATCAGGGGACAGATGGTCCCGAGCGCAATGGCAGGAGGTGCAGCCTGCAGGGAAAGGCTCCTGCCCGAGATCCAGACCTCGCCAAGCGGGGCTGGCGACGCTCCAGGGATCAGTGGTTTGCCGGACTCTGATGTAAACCTCCGCCCTCCCGCTGACCCTCTGGAGAGAGCCAGCCACTTGAGAGGACCTTCTTGGCTCATGACAGTGACATTTTGTGGAGGGGAGGAATGGGGACTGTCCCTTTGGCTTGGGAAAAAGAATCGGTGAAATGATCCCCAAATTGGACTAACTGAGCAGCAGGAGGGACCCAGAGCAATGCGGGCCTCTGCTTGTTGTCCCCGAGAACACCCAGGGGTGCGGGGTCTCCCAGAGCAGCTGGGAGGAGAGTTTCCGGAGAATCCATTTGCATCTGAGGGGTCAAGGGAAGACCCCAGGTGCCATTCGGGTTCCATTTATGTCAGATGATAAACACGACAGTATTAATCATATCAATATTGATCAATAAGGTACACGGCACTTGGTAGGTAACAAAGAAAAGTTTCTCAATTATCATTTTTTAAAATGGTCTTGGGAGGAGCCAGCTGCTCAGGGACTTGTCCCTTTTGGAGAGGCGCCTCCTTAGTGTTAGGTTTAGGTGGGAACCCAAAAAGTATGTATAGGATGGAATGTGGTTAATGGAAAACTTAGGCTTGTAAAACAATAGCTGCAGCAGTCTGGAGAGTCCCCAGAGGTTGTAAAATCTAACAGACAGCTGCAGACATTGACCTCGAGGCCTGCATTCCTATCCACCCTGATAAGGACGGAACTACCCCCCTCCCTTATCTCTGCAGGATGAAACAGACAGAGGGGTCCCAGAAATCGGTTGTTTACAAAATTTTATTGCAGCAGCTATTCTGGCCCAGGTACTCACCCCCACTCAAAGAAACCCTCTATAAAACCCAAGGCTTTCCCCTCTCACTCAGGATGGAGGCTTTTTGGCCTCCACTCATCCGCACCCAGATGCTCAAATAAACAGCATTTTGCTACACATGAGGCTTTGTGTGTCTCCCTCTCCACTCTGGACCTACCATTTGGTGCTGAAACCCGGGAGGGGACAGTGGGTGGATACGACCTCCAGGACTCCAGCAGGCAAGGCTTGCAACTCAGGAACTCCCAAATCCAGCCTTCCTCTGAGTCCATGAATCACCGGTAAGGTTTCCATGGATCTTTGACTAAATTGAGAGAGGCCAGTCTCCCTGGTAGATCAAGACTCCCTAGGAGCCACGAACCTCCCTTGTCTCTGACGAGCCGGCCGGGAGAAGTCCTGAGCTGTGCCTAGAGTGTAGGCAGAGTGCTCTAGCTCGGCCAAGGTAAGGTAATTGTCCACCGCAACCCTCCTGAACCAAGCTGAGAGAGAGACACCGGCCTGGAGCTCAGATCTTCCTTGCTGACCTCCAAAACCTACACCCTGAGATATCCTGTTCCTGGTGAGTGGGAGCTTACAAGCTCGTTCTCATTTCCTGATCCCTCTTGTTCTCATTCAGCCAGAGGCTGTTCCCCAACCTCTCTCGATCTTGTTCTCACTCTCGCTCTTGTTTCTCCACTCATCTTGACTCGAAAGTCCTGCCAGTAAGCTGGAGGACCCTCAGCCCCTGGGGCCCCTGTTGGACACAGGGACGCCTATTCCGACTTATTGCTTGCTGGTCACTCCTGTGCCATTCCCTAGTTCTAGGGACACCTAGAATTGAGTAGAATCGGCCCCATGTGACCCCTACTCTTTCCAGGAACATGGGAAACTCTCAGCCTGCTCCTCCTAAAACTACCCCTTTGCCGTGCCTTCTCCGAAGCCTCAAAACACTAGGTATCACTGATGAAATTCAGCCAAAACAACTTATCTTTCACTGTAATACAGCTTGGCCACAATATAAGTTAGAGAATAACTCTCAGTGGCCTGAAAATGAAACTTTTAACTTTAACATACTACAAGATCTGGATAATTTTTGTCACCACAATAGCAAATGGCCCATGAAATCCCTTATGTCTAAGCCTTCTTTACTCTCCGCTCACGACCCTCTCTGGCAGAATTGCAGTCTGGCACAAATCTTTCTGCTACACCCTAGACCACTTTCCCAACTTCCTCCCTCAGCCCCAGAACCGCCAGAAACTCCAGATCCTGATCCCTCAGATCTCAGCCCTCCCCCATATAGAACTCCTCCACCGCCACCTGAACCCACTCCACCTGAACCCACTCCACACCCCCTCCCCAGCCCCTCACTACGCGCTCGCTCTGCCAAATCTCAGGACCTGCGGATTCTACCGCACTTGGCTTACACCCACCCTGGGAAGTGGCTGGGGCGGGAGGCATCGTGCGGGTACATGTTCCCTTCTCCCTTTCCAATCTGTCCCAGGTAGAGAAAAGACTAGGTTCCTTCTCAACCCATCCTCATGCTTTTATCAAAGAATTTGAATATCTAACTCAATCATATGATCTTACCTGGCATGGTCTGCATAATTCTTTCCTCTACTTTATCTCCTGAGGAGAAGGGGAGGGTCTGGCGATGAAATCCACAGACGCACCCCTGCCCAACCAGTGGGGATGACTGCCGTTCCCAGAACAGACTCGTTATGGGATTATCAAACTGGAACCCAAGAGGGGACGGAAGGACGGGCTAAGAGAGATCATATGATCACATGCCCGTTAGCGGGCCTGAAAAAGGCTGCCCACGAGGCAGTTGATTATGAAAAACTAAAAGAAATCACACAGGGACGGGATGAAAATCTGGCTCTCTTCCTGTCCAGGCTCCCGGAAGCCTTACAAAAATATACAACCCTAGACCCTGCTACCCGCGAGGGAATTTTACTTCTCAATATGCATTTTATGTCCCAAGCTGCACCTGACATTAGATGCAAACTTAAAAAAATTAAAGGGTGGTCCTCAAACCTCACAAAGAGATCTGTTACAAACCGCCTTGAAGGTGTTTAATAATAGGGATGAGGAGCAACAACTTGAAAAACAAAAGAGGGACCAGGCCAAATATCAGACATTGGCAGTTGCCATCAACTGACCCCCTGAACGTCCTCAGTCAAACTGGGGAGAGGGACAAGCGATACCCTCAGGCCTGTGTTTTAAATGCAGACAGGCCACTGGGCAGACAATGTCCTAATCCCCAACCACCCTTGGGACCTTGTCCCCTCTGTGGAATGAGGGACCATGGGAAGGTTGACTGCAGCTTAGCCCCTCGAGGCAGAGCCACATCCCTTCCTCCCAACAAACCAGACGGTCCTGATCTCGCACTGCCGAACCCCTTAGGCCTGGCTGCAGAAGACTGACGGTGCCCGGGACAGACAGCCCCCAAGCCAGGCACCGCATCGGATCCCCGGGTAGCTCTGTGGGTGGCAGGTAAGCCGATTTCTTTTCTCATTGACACGGGGGCAACATTCTCAGCCCTGCCAGAATTCCACGGACCTACACGACTCTCCTCACTCTCTATTGCAAGAGTTGATGGCCTTGTCACCCCTCCTCTAATAACTCTCCCTTTGACCTGCCATCTAGGCTCAAACATCTTCACTCATTCATTTCTAGTTCTCCCTCGGTGCCCAACCCCACTATTAGGAAGAGATGTTCTCTCAAAAGTACGTGCTACTATTTACCTACCTGTCGATCATGAGCCACAGGCAAACACCGCTCCCCTTCTTCTTCTCACAAACTCTCCTCCAACTTCTACACCTTTTTCTGAATCTGAAGTCAGCCCCAAAGGCTGGGATATTTCAACCCCCTCAATAGCCACTCACCACTTCCCCATCCAAATACATTTAAAAGACCCCCCCCCCAATTTCCTCGCCAAGCCTAATACCCAATTCCTTTACAAGGTCTTCAGGGATTGAAACCTATGATTGCTTTCCTTTCCTCCCAAGGCTTACTTCACCCTACTAACGCCCCATATAACACCCCTATCCTGCCAGTAAAAAAGCCAAATGAATCGTACTGTCTCGTCCAAGATCTAAGACTCATTAACCGGGCGGTGAGACCCATCCACCCAGTGGTCCCTAACCCTTACACTATCCTATTTCTTATCCCACCCTCCACCACCCACTATACAGTACTAGATTTAAAAGATAACTTTTTCACAATCCCACTACATCCTAACTCCCAAGACATATTCACATTCACGTGGACAGACCCAGACTCGAAACGGTCACAACAACGTACTTGGACAGTCCTTCCCCACGGATTTAGGGACAGCCCCCATCTCTTTGGACAAGCACTAGCCTCTGACCTAACCCAGCTAAATCTTTCCCTGTGTGTCCTCTTACAATGCGTAGATGATTTACTGTTACATAGCTCCTCTGAGACTATTTCTCGCCAACATACTATTCGACTCCTCAATTTCTTGGCGGAGAAAGGCTATAGGGTATCTCCCAAAAAGGCACAAATTTCCTTACCTCAAGTAACCTATCTAGGATTAGCCCTCTCCCCCGGAAAGAGAGAAATGACAGTAGTTAGAAAAAATCTCATTACTTCCCTACCTCTTCCCACCAATAATAGAGATCTCCTCTCTTTTCTGGGATTAGCTGGATATTTCCATATTTGGGTCCCTAATTTCAGCATCCTAGCTCAACCTTTATATCAAGCAACCAAAGGGAATATTAGATCCTACTGTAAATATTCAGCCCTCTCTTGAAGCCTTAAAAAATGCCTGGACCTCTGCTCCGACACTCACATTTCCCAAACTTACCCAAACTTTCCAGCTATATGCTGATGAAAGACAGGGTGTAGTGGTGGGAATTTTAACACAAAATCATGGCCCAGACACACAGACAATAGCGTACTTGTCCAAACAGCTGGATTTAACTATCAGGGGGTGGCCAGCCTGCCTGAGAGCCTTAGCTGCGGCTGCTCTTCTCACAAAGAAGAGTCAGAAACTCACTTTGGACACCCGTCACTGTCTACACCTCTCACTCCGTTGCCGATCTTCTTTCACACCAGGCCCTACCAACTTTGATGTCTTCTCGTGTTCAACAGTTTCACGTACTTTTCCTTTTCGTAGAAACTCCACATATATCCCTGGCCAAAAGCCCTCCTTCAAACCCAGCCACTCTCTTACCTATCTCTCACGATCATTCCATGCATTCTTGCGCAGAAATGCTCGATTGTAGAATTCCCCACTTCCCCAGCATTTCTCAGCAGCACATACCTAATTCCACCTACACCTGGTTCATAGATGGCAGCTCCTATCTGCAGGAGAAACAGAGGAGAGCCGGGTATGCTATGGCATCCAGAGAGAACATTATTGAAAGTGGACCACTGCCCACTGGGACATCTTCTCAAAAAGCTGAATTGGTGGCACTAATCGGGGCATTGACACTCTCAGAGAATGCAACAAGTACCATTTATACAGACTCCAACTACGTCTTTGACATCCTACACTCACATGTCTCGATATGGGAGGAGTGGGGCTTTCTCACTACAAAGGGCTCCCCAATAGTCAATGAGTCTCTCCCCTTTCGTTCTTAAACTCTTAAAAGCAGCTCGCCTACCAAAGGCGGCGGCGGTAATACATTCCAAAGGATACCAGGGGGCCATGGCCCCATTGCTACTGGTAATAACTTAGCAGACCAAGATGCAAAAAAAGCAGCCTTGGGAAATCTTCCCACTCCTGCCAACCAAATGGGAGCTACCTCTCATGACCCCATGAACTATTCTCCCGAAGAAAAACATTCCCCACTAGAAGCTGGGGCCACTCAATTTGGCCGCTGGCTGCTAAACCAAGGAAAATACATCCTCCCACGAGAACAAACATACACTATACCGACAGATATACGTAATTCACTACCTGTGGGATTTAAACCTCTACTGCACCTCCTAAAACCTCTCATCCATTGTCCAAACCTGTCTTCTCTTCTACAAGACATAACCCACAAAGGCTCTGTTTGTTACTCCGTCTCCCCTCAGGGAGTAGCTAGGCCGCCCTCTTTTCCTACTCATCAGGCAGTCCCTTCCCTGGGCTCTGTCCCTCAGGCCAACTGAGCGACTTTCCCTTCTGTCCCCAGCACTGGCTCTGGCCTCTGCAGCCCTCAGATCTGAGTCTCTCTGCCCCAGCACCTCTCTACACCCACACCTCCTCTCCCCCCAGACACCCCATGCCTGAGGGGCTGCCCCCGCAGCCCCAGCCTGGCTCAGCCTCTCCCTGCCCCTCCCCACATCACTGCCAGCACCTCCCCTCCCTCCACGCCAGACCCAGGACAGCCCTCTAGACACAGAAAGGACATAGCCACTCCGCCACAAACTCATAATCTCCCATGGAAAAAACAGACTTTGGATAATAACAGAATTTTTATACAAGCTTCCAAATAGAAGCTGGCATTCACACTTCCCCAGGCTAGGACACCATACTGAGTCCTTCCCATGGGGGCTGACCCCCTGTGGATCCTCCCTGATAAATCAGGAGGCACTTACTGAAGGCATTGGAGGCACTACTGGAGGCGCCCTGAGGCTAAACCCGACTGTGACCGGCGTGTGCTGATCCCACCGCCGGTAGGGTGGTCTCTGAAATTCTGGGAATTTCACTTTCGATTTCATGCCCCACGTGATTGCTCACAGCCAATCATTTTCTAACCTACAAAGCCCAACAAGGGATCACAGCATGTAATCAGTCGGCCCCTCACACCCAGAGACAGGAAGGGAAATCGTGCCCCCTGCGTAGCCAACAACATACTGGACAGTCCTCCCCGACCCGGGGAAGGGCTGCTTTGAAGCCAGCTCAATGTCCCCTCATTATCACCCTGACAATTGAGTCAGCTGTTGCTCTGGAAACAAGTAAACCCAGTATCTCGACGACTCAGGACAGATATTTCTTTCTCACTCACGTAGCATGAGGGCTGGGGGTCAGTGGAGAGGCTTCTGGGCTCAGTGGCGTTTGGCTTCAGGCAGAGAGGGAAGGTCATGTCCCCACCTCCTGGGTTACACACTGGGCCCAGGTGAAAGGAGTAGCCCCGAGCGGGGATATCTCCTCCTGGCAAAGTGCACGGGAGCCCAAGGAGCTGACACCAACCACGCAAGCCCCTCTGCGAACTCCTGCTCAGGTGTGCTCAGAGACAGCGTGCTCACTTCCTTCCACTGGCCAAAGAGATCACACGACCAAGCCACAGGCAATGAGGAACCCCGGTAGGTCCCCAGATAATGGCAGGGACACATCATCTATCACCTTGAAGGACACAGCAGCAGAGGGTGGGGGAGGGGGAACCAGTCTAAAGCCAGAAACACTTCCCACAGCCATTCAGAACTGAGACCCCAGAAAATACTGGGCGGGAAGGGATGAGGGATGGCCGGCTGGGTGGGGACCCTGCACGCATGTGTATTCACAGGAATAGGCAGAGCAGGTGCGCGTCTAGGTGAGGCTCTTGTGGTGTCAAAGCATGCGCTGCCTTCACTGGGACACCTCGGCTGCAGGTCACAGCACTGGATTAGCTGGGGTTCTCCAGAGAAGCAGAACTGTTAGGAGACTTGGACATACATATGGGGATTTATTGTGAAGATTGACTCCAGAGGCTGAGAAGTCCCAGCATCTCTAGATGCCCTTACTCATTCTGACGCACAGGTGTTTCGAGACTCTCTTGAGTGTTCTGAGGATGTGGTGATATACTCAGAATGTACTCTAGGAGAAATGAACTTCATGTTGTTTCTTCCCTCAGCAAGGCGTTGTCTCTACAAAAAAATTGAAAAATTAGCCCCCCGCAATGGCACACGCCTGTAGTCCCAGTTACTCTGGAGGCTGGGGAAGGAGCATCACCTGAGCCCAGGAGTTTGAAGCTGCAGTGAGCTAGGATTGCGCCACTGCACTCAAGCCTGGGCAACAGAGTGAGATCTTATCTCTAAAAAAATAAAAATAAAAGAACCTGTTGGTGGTGGTGGTCATGGTGGCTAGTCCTGAAATCCCAGCTATTCGGGAGGCCAAGGCTGGAGGATGACTTGAGGCCAGGAGTTCCAGACCAGCCTGGGAAACAGCAAAATCTCCATCTCAAAAATGAACGAAAGAAAGGAAGGAAGGAAGGAAGGAAGGAAGGAAGGAAGGAAGGAAGGAAGGAAGGAAGGAAGGAAGGAAGGAAGGAAGGAAGAATCTGTTGTTTTTCAGTATGTTACCAAAGAAACAAAAACAAAAACCTCTTCAGCATCACATGCCATGTCATCAATATATCAAGCTATTGTTCTGTCTGAGAGCAGAACTTTCTCTTTTGTAGTGCATCTCGCATTAGCATTTTACTCACTGTCATTTTACATCCTGGCTAACTATTAGGTTCTCACCACGCGCATGATTTTTCTTTTTATGGATAATAGGTTCCGCTACCAAATAACTTGCTTTTTGAGCCATGGGACCTTTAAAATAAAAGCCTTAATCTGTTTGTTTGGAGATACCAATAGAGATGTTTTAAAAATATCACATTTACTTGTCAAATGGCTATGATTTGTAGGGAGGTTTTTTTCAATTTTGCTGGAGCCATTGGTACGTGTGTGAGTTGTAATTCTTTGTCACTAACCAGTCTTACCACATTTGCCCATGGTCCTAGTCCTAGAATCCTCTTTCATTTCATACCTCATATTAAAAAATTACCACAATAGACTGTGAGAGCCATTCGTAAAAGATAAATGCTAATGATAAGATATAAAATAGAAGGGCAGGACAGATGACTAAACAAAAAAACTTGCAAAGAAATATGAAATCTTCACAATGAAATTTACTACTAACCTGTAGAATTCATGATTTATAGTGTTTATCAACAGCAAAGTGGCAGGAGGCAGCTGAGTCACAGGATATAAAAATTATTTCTTTAGAAGGAAAACTTCCTCTGATTTTTCTTTCATACCAGGAGTGTGTTCGTTCCCGTAAGTCAGGTGTTGGTGCATACGGGGAGATCAGGGAGGTAACTCAGACGGGCAAGGATGATATGATCGGCCTCGACCTCCTTCTCTCCAGGCCACACATGTTCACAAATTATCAACAGACGTCCCCATCTCACGTTAAAAACTGAGAAAGGACTCAACCGAATGAATGCAGTCCCGCTGTTCGCTGCCATGCGGCTGCTCAATTACATCTGTCACTGTAAGTACTGGCATCATGTGGCACGTGACATTCAAAAAACGATGCTTTTTTTTTTTCGATCACAATACAGAATCCCTGGGCCCCAGTCACTGAGCTGAGGACTCAGCGGCCTCCTCCGTACCCAGCCCCCACCCCGCTTTCTCCTGCCGCCACCTTCTCTGAGGAAAAGGAATCGTGTCCTATGCCCGCTATCCAGAACCTGCACTCTTTCGGCCCCTTTGCTGGCGCAAGTAAGGGTGCTGAGCCGCTTCCTGCCAGCACTGAGGATGATATCCACGTAAGAATTCAACAGAGAAATGGCAGGAAGACCCTTACTACTGTCCAGGGGATCGCTGATGATTACAATAAAAAGAAATACAGTGAAGGCGTTTAAGAAGAAATTTGCCTGCAATGGTACTGTAATTGAGCATCCGGGATGTGGAGAAGTAATTCAGTACAGGGTGACCAGCGCAAGAACACGTGCCAGTTCCTTGTAGAGATTGCACTGGCTAAGGACGATCAGATGAAGGTTTATGAGTTTTAAGTGCTCGTGGCTCACTGAAGCTTAAGTGAGGATTTTTTTGCAATGAGTAGAATTTCCCCTCTGTCCCTTCTCACAAGTTTAAAAATCTCACAGCTTGTATAATGTAACCATTTGGGGTCTGCTTTTAACTTGAACTAGTATAACTCCTTCACACAATAAACTGAAAAGAGCCAAGAAAAAAAAATACAGAACCCCAGGTTTAGAAATGTCTTGAGGAACTTTTTGGTTCCACAGAACCCCAGTTGAAAACCTTGCCCTAGAGTTTTGATCCTGTCTGCTTGTTGCATCCGGGCTCCAGCCTACAGGAAGGGGGAAAACAGAGGTTCCGGTGTCTGATGCTTGAAATCCAACACCCAGAAGTTGCTCACATTGCTTCTGCTCTCACCTTTTAGACACCTATGCGCAAGGTACACCTGGGAGTGTAGGGAGTTGGGAGGCCCCGTGCCCACGAAGAAGAGGAGAACGGATTTGTGGGACAACTAGCTGTTCTACCACAAACTATTTCTTTGTCTACTGCTGGCAACAGACAGTAAGTTCCCTGAAGGCAGGAGCCATGTTTCTTTCATCACTGGGAACCTTGTATCCAACGTCCACTATGAACTTGGCTCTGATCAAGCACTCAGAAAGCTGCTGTTGTCAAAGAAGTAACCTGTAAGCTTCCAAAAGAGCTGTGCTGTGCACTGAATTTGGTACGCAGGACAAGCTCTGCAGTGGGTTTCAGGAGGAAGACAAGACAGCATGAAGGTCGCAGGTACAGACTTTAGAGTGAGACAGATGATTTTAAGTTTTTATTCACCGAGTGACTCATTTGTATTCTCTAAGCCACAGCACCTCTTTCTGTCAAATGGGGTTATTGGGAGGATTAAATTGAATGTGTATAAAGTAGGTCCTCAATAAATGATGGCTGATAGTTTTATTTTGGTAATAACCCAAGAGGGGGGTTTCCGTCAATATCAATGATCTAGGAGAGAATAATAACATCAATTAACATTTATTATGCTGTTAGTATAAGCTTTACAGATCTTAATTTTATTGATCCTGTGAGGTAGATACTATTATTCCCATTTCACAGTGGAAGAAACCAAGGCATAGGAGAGTTAAATAGCAAGCCCAAGGTCACAGACCTACTTATAGGGGAGTCAGGCAGTCTTAACCCTACAACCAATTATATCTAGGTGAGACTAGGGACTGGACCACTTGGCCTCATGAATTTCTTTCCAACAACAGGGCTAAAGCAATTGATGAAGCCATGGTGTCACCATGGACTTCTTTGTCCAGCTTTGCCATTGACCTGCTGGGTCACCTTGGACCAGCCCTTCCCTTTTCTTGACTTCGTTTTCCTCATTTTACAGTGAAGAAGTTGGACACAGTAATTCCTGATTCCAAACAACAGCCCAGCATTTGGGCATTTGGGAACTAGTCCCAGGCCTACTGGTGACATCATAGAGGGAAGAGTTCCATGAGAATAGTCAGGCCTTCCTGGAAGCCCAGTGTTGCAGTTTGCTTTGAGCTCAGCTTAGGAGAGAAGGGAAATCCAGGAGGGGCCTGTTGGGCCCAGGTCTCGAGCTCTCTTTATTCCAGGATTCCCAGCACAGTCATGGATCAAACCTCAATGTCTGAAAAGGCTCAAAATGAGGCAGACACCAATAACTTGGACATGTCCTCTCGGCCCCACTCATCATTCCCACACCACAGGCCAGGCCTCAGTGGAGCTGACCACCACCGTGAGTCCCCTCATGACAGGGTGGCCCATCACCACAGTGAGTCTCCCCATCATGGCACACCCCACCATCACAATGGATCTCACCACTCTCGTGAGTTCCAAGATCTGCACAACAATGCCTCCTCCTACCATTCCTCCCAATCTCACCACCACAGTGAGGCCCTCCATCATGGCAGAGCCCACAGCCCCACAGCCTCTGGTCCAGCTGCCTCTCATGGCATTGTTTCTTCCCATCATGCCATTGGGGAGGACCACTTCAATGATGAGCACCACCATGGTAGCAGGATGCATCACAGTGAGTCCCACCATGGTGGGTCCCACCACCATGCTGGATCCCACCACGGTGGATCTCATCACCATGGCAGGTCTCGCCACCATGGTGGGCCCCACTATCATGGTGGGCCTAAACCACTTGATGAGAATTTGTCCCAGCACTCCTATAGTGGATCCTCCCACCATGATGGGCACTACCCCCACAGCGAGACTTCCCACCATGCTGGGCTCCACCGTGGCTGGTCCCGTCACCATGAAGCCCACCACCAAAACAGGCTTCTTCATCATGGAGAGACCATTTCCCATCTTTCCTCTGAGGGTTCCTACGATCATGGCATACCTCGCTATCATAGTGAGCATGATTATAGTGATCCCCACTCCAGTAAGCACCACCTTGGTGAGCATCCCCACCACAGAGACCACCACCATGGCGAGCATCCCCACCACAGAGTCCACCACCACAGAGAGCACCACCATGGCGAGCACCACCATGGCAAGCACCACCATGGCTTGCATCGTCATGATGACTTCCACAGTGATCGCCAACACAGGGAGTACCCTCGGGTCACTTCCCAACTCTCTATCCCACACGAGACCCACAGCCTGGTTCCGAACGACTTCAGCTCTGCCAATTCTTTTATGACGCTGCACCCACTTGGTGGGGCACACGCTGGGGGCTTGGCCTCCAGCATGACTCGGGTCCTCAGTAAAATTCACTTGATTGGCTCCCAGCTCTCCAGCAAAGTCCATCCTAAAGATTCCTCCTCCAAAGACTCAGAAAGCTGGGACACAGAAGATGAGCAATTTCAGAAGCGCAAAAGTGAGTCTTTCCCAGACCCCCACCCCAACTCCCACAGCCTGGCCCAGATTCCACACCTGCCCCAGCCCCCGCGCTGACCTTCCACAGATCATGAGGTTTGACCCTCACCTGCATATGTAGTTCACTGGCTGTTCACTCTTGGAAGAGTGAACCCCTGTTCACCAAGGGGTGGCCACATAACCAATCACAAACCATCCAGTGATAGGGGCCTGTCCTCCTCCACATGAGAACACTTACCACTGAGGATTCTATCTGTCCACATTTCTCCCACTAAACTGGGAGCTGCATGAGGACAGAGCCTAAGAGCTAGTGCCTGAATGAGGCCTTACTCGAGGGTAGGGAGAGATCTCGCCTGTTAACTCACAATCCCCCAAACCTGGTTCCCAGTAGTTCAATAAACATGGCAACAGTCTCACAAACAAGCAGAGAGGGTGAGTGTCTTATTAGATGGGGACAGGAAAGGCAGCTGGAAGAGGGAATGTTTCAGCAGGATCTTAAAGGGAGAGGGTGAGTTTACAAAGAGGATAGGGTGTTGAGAAGGGGATTTTCCATGCGTAAGTCGCCACGTGAGCAAAGAAAGGCATGGAGGTGAGGAGCAGGAGCTCTCAGGATCCACTCACGCCAATTCCAGCTCCCAAACAGGCTGGCACCTGCCATGGAAGGGGTTGGGCCTGTGGCCCCAATAGCAACACAGGCTAGCATAGAGGCACCCTAGTGAATGGCAGGCGAGCAGGCAGGAATGACAATGAACTCTGAACCTGTCTGGGAGGGTGCCTGGGGCCCCCATGTCCCGCATCTGAACAGATTTGACTTTCTGGCCCCCTTACAGCCGGCCGGTCCCAGCGGGCCCACAAGAAGATGCACACTTGGAGCTTCTTCCATTGGCTGTGGGACAAATTAAGCTACTTCATTGAGGAATTCCGGAGCATGATCTGGAACCTGACCCACTCCCTGGTCTTTGAAGTCTTCATCTTCTTCGTCATCTGCCTCAACACTATCATGCTTGTGGTCCAGACCTTCGCCGAAGTGGAGATCCGGGGTGGTAAGAGCCAGGGAGCCCTGTTGACATGGAGAAGCCCACTGATGTTGTTCCAGGACCTCCTGTGGGCCTGATCAAGTGACGGGCCATTTATATAACTTAGCTCACTTGATCTTCACCCAGTGTTAGAGATGAGACTCAGAAAGATACTAACGAGGTCAGCCGGCCAGAGATTCCAACATCAGCTGAACAGGCGGCTTGCTGTTCGCGGCAACAGCCGCCAGAGGGCGCGTCACCCTGAATATGCTGCTATGGGCGGGAAGGGTGAGGGGAACCTAGGATTTGCGGGAAGGGCAGGAGACCCCGAGGAGAAAGCCCAGGGCGGGGCGTCGGGGGCGGGGGGAGGTGAGAGTGGAACGTTTGGGAAGGCCGGCCCCTAAAACGCCGCGGGGCAGGATGAACAAAAGGACCTGCCACAGCTCACAGTTTCAGGCTCAATTCTAAGCACTTTGTTAAATGCATTTAATGCTCACAACTCTTATCAGGCGGAGTTTTATTATCCCCATTGTAAAGACAAGAAAATTGAGGCACAGAGTGGTTAGGTCACACAGCCATTTAGGGCAGAGCCAGGGAGAGCAAGGTATTTGGGGTTGTATGAGGTCCCACTGATGAGGGGGAGAGAATAGGTGCTGAGGGGGGCCCTGAGTGAGCCCCTGGTACCCCCACAGAGTGGTACTTCATGGCCTTGGATTCCATTTTCTTCTGCATCTACGTACTGGAAGCTCTGCTCAAGATCATCGCCCTGGGCTTCTCGTATTTTCGTGATATGTGGAACAATCTGGGTGGGTGGGGATGGGGCTGGGTGCGGTGCGTGTGCGTGCGTGCATGTGTGTTTGGCGGGAGCCACTGAACTATCTGGCGGAGGCCGAGGATGAAAGGGGGCAGCAACAGGGGTGTTGGCATCAGGAGGGCTGTGGGGCGGGCTAGGGGCCCACAGGAGCCTGCCGCACTCAGGCACCTGGGTCCCCTCAGACTTCTTCATCATGATCATCGCTATGCTGGACTTCGTGCTCATGCAGCTCGATGCCTTCTCCATCTACCAGCTAAGCCTCTTCCGGATCCTCAAGGTCTTCAAGAGCCTTCGGGCCCTTAGGGTCATCCGGGTCCTGCGGAAGCTGAGGTCAGCACAGCCATGGCTGCCCACCCTGGTATGGGGCCTCCGATGGAAGGGGGACAGAGGCCTGGGCCCCCAGGGATCCACTGTGACCGCCCCAGGGATGGAGGTCAGGAGGCTGCAGACCCAAGCCTGCTTCTGACAAGCCTCCCGCCCTCCAGTGGGATCAATCTCTTCATTTTCCGGAGAGGGGCCAGGACTTACCCAAGTCACCCACAAATCAGGGGCCTCCTGCCTTCAGTGCCAGCTCTGGCTGCTGGGCACAGATCGCCAGCCCCACTGACTCGGCCCCTCCTCTCCACTTCTGCCCACAGCGTCCTGACCAGCCTCCATGAAGTGACAGGGACCCTGGCCCGGTCCTTGCCATCCATCACAGCCATCCTCATCCTCATGTTTACCTGCCTCTGTATCCTGTGCTGGGGGGCTGGGGGCAGGAGTCTGGGGGCTGTAGTGGAAGGGGTTGGGGGAGCCAGGCCTGGGGCAGGGATAGGACCTAGGAGCCTGGTTTGGCCCTGAACATCCAGTCCTCTTCTCCGTGGTACTCCGGGCACTGTTCCGCAAGTCTGACCCTAAGCGCTTCCAGAGCATCTTCAGCACCATCTTCACCCTCTTCACCTTGCTCACCCTGGACGACTGGTCCCTCATCTACATGGACAGCCGGGCCCAGGGTGGGGCAGGCCCCTGGCTGCGGGGAGGGCAGGGGACTGGCTGGGTGGGAAGGCCCTGAAGACTCAGTTACCCCATCTGCTGGCAGGGTGTGATGTGGCCGGGTGAGCACAGCCGCATGGACCCCCTCTTTCATACTCTCCACCAGGCGCCTGGTACATAATTCCCATTCTCATGATTTACATCATCATCCAATACTTCATCTTCCTCAAGTGAGGACCCATCCCTGCTCTGCTGCCCAGCTTCCCTCCCCTTCCCCCACCTCCCTCTGGGCACCCCCACCCCAGCCCTCTCACCCTGGCCAAACCGCACAGAACCCAGGGGAGGATGCAGGGCCTCTCCTATGGCCTCCTCCTTGAGACCCCCCCCCCGCTGCCCTCCCCAGCCTGGTGATTGCTGTCCTGGTGGATAACTTCCAGATGGCACTGCTCAAAGGCCTGGAGAAAGTGAAACAGGAGGTACCAAGCAGGGTTGGGCAGAGGGACCAGATCAGGAAACACGGGAGGGAGGCCCAGGGTGCTACAGGGACGGGCAGGCGTGGGACTCCGGCAGGACCAAGGCTCTTCTTCCCAGAGGGCCGCCCAAGTCCAAGAGAAGCTGCTGGAGGACTCGCTGACAGAGCTCAAACAAGCAGGTACTGGCCTTGCCCGCCCCGGCCCTGCCCGCAGGCGGGCCCATCTCCCCAGGCCCTCGGCCTCCTTCCACAGTCAGGCACAGAATGCCTGGCTCGGTTCAGAGTTTTAGAATGTAAGCCTCAGGAGGACTTTCAGAGTTTAGGGCCCTAGGACAATCCTCCCAAAGCCGATTAAACTGACAGTCAATTCTTGAAACACCCACTTGGGAAAAGACTGATCGGCCAACTTATAATTCAGCAAACTCCCATTTCTGTTAATAACTTATAAAGTTCATAGCAATTGGTCTTCCACAGGATGGTTTCAGCTGCCTTTGTGGGTTTTGTCAAGGTTATACACCCTTGTCTGGAGTCATTCGACATGGATTGAAAGTCTACAAAAATGAAGTTTCCTGTACATGTTCATTTTCACACCCCTGATTTTCTGGGTGAATTGATTTTGAGCCAGTTGGTTTGCTTCGGGCTTAAGGATTCTCAGAACTTCAGAATCTGAGCTCCAGAATCCCACTCTTGGGATCATTAACACCAGAGAATTAAAGGTCCTATGAGATCACCTGGTCCTTCACCTACACTCTTCATCAGCAACAGACACTCAGTGCAAGATAGCTTAATCAAAAAGAGAAATTAATTGGCTCAAATTACTTAGCAAGTTGAGGGCACATGGGCTTTCAGGAATGGCTGGATCCAGGACTCAAATCATGATCAGAATTTGGTCTCCTTTAAATATCTGTGCTCTGTAGCCCTCTGTGTGGTTTTATTCTAAGGGCAGCTCTTCCCTTGTGGTGGCAAATGGTCGCCTGCAACTCTAGTCCTGAATCCTCACAGTTTAGCCATCCCTAGCCCTCTCAGCAGAAAAAGAAGTCCTCTTCTCTTAGCAGTCCCAACGAAGTCCCAGAAATGACCTCCCTGTGCATAATTCTGAACCAGGCACTGCAGCCAAAAGGATAGGCTGTTCTGACTGGCCAGGCCTAAGTCACGTGTCCTTGGAGGGGGTTGGGGGTGGGACCAACTCCAGCTAGACAGCCTGGATTGAAGAGGGATGGAGGTGGTCCCTCAGGAAAATTGGGACACTTTTACCAGAAGAAGAAGGAATGATCGCTGGATGGGCAAACAAACAAAACTGCCACACACGCCCTGCCTGGAGAAGCAGCCCCTTTGGAGGCGTCCCGGACGCAAGCTCCTTTGGCCTCTGTCTCCATGACACATGGGGTCTCTCCCACCCCCTCTCCGAATCCAGGCGATTTCTTGACCTCCTCCTTCTCTACACCCAGAGCCGGAAGAGGAGTTGAGTGAAGGCACCAGGCAGAAGCAGTTCCTGGAGAAAAAGTTTGGGGCCATGACTGAGAAGTGAGAGACGCCAGGAGAGGGGAGGCCGCGGGTCTGAGGGAGAGAGCTGGGAGCCGGGCCAGGGGCTGGGAGGGAAGGGACCTTGCCTGCCCCTCTGGAAGGGGGATGGAGCACTAAGGCTTGTGTATCAGCCTGTGAGGGGACGTGGAGACCACGAGTGGCTCCTGCACACCCAGAGGTTCCTGTACCACCCACCTGCAGGGATTCCGCTCATGCCTTTACTCAAGAAACATCCGACCTTTGTCAGGGGCAGCCCTGTGAGGGCTCCAGGGACCCAAAGAGGACACAGACTCAGTCCCTGCCCATGCAGGCCCCACCTCTAGGCTTGTGCTGGAGCACCAGGGACCCTGCCCAAGCCTGGCAAACCTTCATGTGTCTTTCAAACTCAGCTCCCTCTGGAAGCCTTCCCAGACCCCAGCACTGGTGGAGTTCAGCCCGGTGGAGGGATGATGAGGCGGGTGGGGGGAACGGCGTGGGTAAAGGCCTGGGGGCCAGGTGTGCAACCTGCATTCCTGTCCACTTGAGTGGCCAGTTGGGCCAGGACAACTGGGGACTCATGGCTGGGGACTCATGCTCATGGCTGGGGTCCTTAAGCTCCCGCTTCCTGGCTCTCAGGCCTGGCCCCCCCAGAGCCCCTTCGCTCTGAGAGCGGGCCCCCCCCCCACCCTGTCCAGACTGGCTCCCATCCAGCTCCCAGGACAGACCTGACAGCTGGCGTCCTCTGGGCTCTCCTCACCTGCAAAGTGAGACCAAGCGCTGTGGCCCGGCGTTCAGGGCCCTCGGATCAGGCCTGAGCTAACCTCCCTCGCATCGTTGTAGCCACAATCACTCCTGGAACATCACTGCTTTACCCACACCATCTCCTAAGCACAGCTCATACTTCTCTACCTCCAGGCCTTCACCTACACTGTTCTCTCTGCCTAGAATGTTCTCTGGCTGCTGATGCCAGGCTCTAGGTGACCAAGGGTTGGGAGAGCCGAGGTCCAATCCTGGCTGCTTCACCTCCTTGTTGCAGCTCCTTGGCCACCATGCTGGTCTGGGCCCTTGGCACTTCTGGGTTTGCCGGCCCGCAACCCTCCCCACTAGTCCACCTCCACTGGGAGGGGTCTTTGTTAAGTGCCATTTTGCCTTCTTCCTCCTCCCCCGAGTTTAAGCTCCTGCCCCCCTTAGGGTAAGGTCCAGGCTCCTTGCTTTGACCCTTGCCACATGTCTCCACCTGCAGTTCATCCACTGCCTGAAGCAGCCTTCCCCGAAGCTGCCCCGGCCCCCTAGTTATGCTCCTCCCGAACACACACCTTGGAGCACCAGGGGCCCTGCCCAAGCCTGGCAAATCCTCATGTGTCTTTCAAACTCAGCTTCCTCTGAAAGCCTTCCCAGACCCCAGCACTGGTGAAGTTTCCCTCCTCCAGGCCCCTCCACACCCGTGTTTGCACCGACCACAATGTGTCTGTGGTTGACCAGCTCTGGGGCAGGACTGTTTCTTGTTCATCTCTATGTCCTCAGAGCACCTTGCAGTGTTGATTGTTTTTTGCGTTCTTTGATGGATGGATTGATGAGCTGGGGGAGGTGAATGGGTGAATGGGTGGGGGAGTGCGTGGGTGTGTGAGCACACGGCACGGTGGGGTGGAGACACAGGGAAGGGGGGCTGGAGGGAGAGGTGAGTGGATGGGTGGGGGTGGGCAGAGTGGGTGAACGGATAGGGAGATCGGTGGATGGCGGGTGGGTGCGTGGAGAGGTGTGGGCAGGTGACGAATGGGCAGGTGGAGGGATAGGTTGTTGGGAGGATAAACGGTGAATAGTCAGAAGCCCCCATGGCACAGGCAGACGCGGGGCTTTTCTCTGTGTGGAAAAGGAGACGTACGGGAAATAGAGGTCTAGAGTGATGGAAGTTTCGGGGGCAGTGAAGAGACAGGCCAGAAGGGCCATCCAGGTGGCTCTGGGGGCCCGGACGGCCCAGCGGGAAAGTGAGCCCAGCGCTTGCCTCCCCTCCCCCAGGCAGCAGCAGCTCCTGTTCCACTACCTGCAGCTGGTGGCGGGCGTGGAGACTCAGCAACAGAAATTCCGTTCCCAGGCCTTCATCATTGATGAGATTGTCGACGTCACATTTGAGGTAGACCAAGCAGGACAGTGGGAGGGGGAAGGGAGGCTTTGGGGTCTTGTGCCCAGAAGTGGCCCTGAGTAACAGTCCCATGGGTATTGGGGAGGGCAGAGGCCAGCAGCAGCTCCTTCACCAGCCCTCCATGCCTCCCTGACCCCGCAGGCTGGAGAAGAGGACTTCAGGAGATGACCCCCAAAGGACACCAGATACAGACTTCAGTCTCTGGCAAGCTGCCCACCTTGGTGGGTCAGGACAAATCCCCAAATCTGCTGGAATGATCGTCTGGGCCCTGCAGGGCTGGGTTCTCAACAGAGGTTTAAAACTCCACATGGCCCTGTGTCCTCACTGGCTGGGCCAACGCACAGAGTAAGGGGGCTTGTGCACGGGCATATGTGTGCAAACGCAAGTGTGTGTGTGCTGGTGTTGCCTGGGAAAGGGGCCGTCCTCAGATCCTCCAGCGGCACCAGGGCCTGGCATTTTAGCTCAGCCCCGCAGTGCATTAGCAGAAGCCAGAGGGGTGACGCAGAAAGTGGGCCAGGCTCAGGTGCCAGTTGTGCCGGGAGGGGATAGAGTGGGCAGTGACCCTGCTTTGGGGAGGAAGGCCTGTGTGGCCCAGGAATCAAGAGAAAAAGAACAGGCTGCAACAGCCCAGGGTTGTCTGGCCCTGGAACAGTAGGCTCCAGGAATGGGGGCTCAGAGCCCAGGAACACCAGCCTGCCAGGACCTTAGCATCCAGTGTAAGAGTGCCAACCCGATGGGGATATCATAAACCCAGAGGTCAGAGGTCACTGCCATACCCAGCCCAGCCTCGGATCAGACTCCAGAGCCTCTGTGAGAGGAAGTAGGGTGGAGGCTACTAGAAGGCTACCAGAAGGCTCTAGTCCTTCTGGCCCCAGGACAGGGGCCGGGCAGGCATGTGGAGTGGCGGCCCTGCTGCTGGAGGCAGAAGCAGGGGATGAGGTTTATGACTGCTCCCCACGCTGCCTGGTCCTGGGCTGAGATGAGCTCCCCTACTTACAGCCTGAGCCTGGGCTGGACCTCCAGAGCCCCAGTCCGAAGGCTGGGGGTGGCAGGGGTGGGCACTGGCCTATGCTGGGTGCTGGAGACCTAACACCGAGTCAAGTTCATGCCCAGTCCTGGCCCAGGAGGTTCCCCAGCCAAGGAGGGATCTTTTATCTACGACAGCTGTTTCAGGTCTAGCAGAGGCGAGTCCAGGGTGCAGGGCAGGCTGGAGGGAGTCAGGAGTGGGTGCCAAGGGGCGGTGGACAGTTTTGCCAACCACCTGCCATCTCTGGGCTGGACCAGAGCCTCCAGAGCCTCGGGACAGAAGCAGCACTTCCCTCCCTGGCCTGGCTGAGGGCACTGGCTGGCCCAGGGCCCAGAATCGACCATGCAGACTAAATGCCATCTGGGATTTGGGCACAGATTCCAGGGGAGAGGCCACCTGGCAGGCATCTCTGGGCCTTTCCTCTCCCCACCTCACACATTCATTCAACAAACATTTGCTGCCACTTACCCTGTGCCAACCCCATGCTGGGGCCTCCTACTTGGTGGCACATGGGAGCCCTTCCAAGCAGCAGGCCCCCCGCATACCCTGGGCTGTATGAGCTACCACATCTGACAGACTGGAGCAGAAGCAGGGCTGGATGTTGTCCCCCGTGTCCCTGACTCCTGTCAAATGCAACCCCTCCACTCCTCGGACTCCCTGGTGGGATTCAGCGTCTATTTCCTTCCTTCCCATCCCCACCCTCGGATGGCCTCTGAGGGCAGAGGGCAAGGTCTGCGAGCCCAGCTGCTGCTCACAAGTGGGTGTGAGGCCCTGTCACAAAGGAAGGGCCTGCTGGCAGCACAGAGGGGCTGCCTGCCTGGGCCTGATGGTGCCACACCTCGTGTCCCCAAGGCCGTGGGCCCAGGTATGGGTATGTGCTCGTGCGTCTGAGGAACATCTCTGCATGTGGCGTGCAGGTCTCTGGGTTGTGTGTGTGGGGCCTGTGTGTACCTCTCCAGGTTATTTCTCTGGGGTGTGCCGCTTCTCTGTATTTCCACTTGGGCGTCGGAGTTGCTAGGCTGTTTGTGTTTTCCTAGGTGAGGGGTGTATGGTGTCTGGCAGCATCTCAGCGTGTGTTGTGTGTTTCTGTGTATATGTATCTGGTGTGTTGTGTTTTGGGTGTGGAGGTGTGTATATAATGAATATGAATTGCAGCCACGAATTCAAGTGTGCAAAAAATGTTACAACTGTTACAATGTTCAATTCAATGTCATTCTTTAAATGACATTGAATCGAATATATTCCCTCATCTCTCCTGTGGGCAGTAGATTTGAGCTTTGTCCCTCTGGGGCTCCCTGTCCTGCCCCTTCCAGGGGACTTTGCAGAGGCAAGGCATTGGAGTCCCTGCGGTGTGTGGCCCACAGTGTGGACTTGAGAGGCACTGTCCCATCCCTCATGGTCTCTTGGCCTGCAGAGGCTGTGCCATCCTCGGGCCACATGCAAGTATAGCAATTGTTATAGGCTGGGAGCTCCGCCTTCTGGGGCCTGCCTGGCTGAAGCCACCATGTGCCACCCCTGAGCTCCTCCAGGGTGCTGAGAGGGCACAGAGCACAGGCTCCTCCTCAAAGGACTCACGGATACCCCAATGGCCCTGTTCTAGTCTTGGGGCATCATCCCTCTTCTGCGACTTTGTCTGCCTCTAAGACTGCCTTACCTCTAAGACCACTGGGAGTCTCTGGCTGTGTCTGGGGGCTCTGGAGGTTTGTCCCTTTATACCTTCAATGCTGGGGTATTTGGGGGACTCCAGATTTGGGGGCTGAACCCCATACCCTCGGCACTATCTGGGCTGGAACAGCAGAAGCTCAGCTGGGGGCGGTGTGGGTGGCCTGTCAGCACAGAGTGGGGTGTTGGGAGCTGCCAGGAGTGGAAGTGGGGGTGGGGGGAAGGGGGAAGCACTCGGAAGAAAACAATGTAAGAAGCAGTGCTGGCAATTTATTGCGACAGATGTCCATGGACCTGAAATGCCCTCCACCGAGGCCGCCCCTGCCCCACTCCTGCTGCGGACAATTACATCTGCACGCAGTTGTGCTTTAGCAGCTGAGAGGAGTTCTGCCAGGGAACCAGGAGGATCTCAAAGTCACAGCGCAGCTTCTGTGGAGAGATACGGGGGAGAAGGAGGGTGAACCCAGCCCTGGCCCACTCGCTGCCAATAGCCAGCCCTCTGCCTGCCAGTGCCACTCTGGGGTGAGAGAGGGGCAGTCACTGGCCCAAAGGACATCAAGTTAGATGGCTGGGGCTATCTCTGTAGCCAGATCTCAGTAGCCAACTCCCCCACTCCCCAGGGAAGTCACAGCCTCCCTGCTACTCCTCATCCTGGCCTGGAGGCTGTCATCAGAAGGCCAGACAGGTTCAGCCAGACCAGTTCAGGCTGGACGGCCTGAGGGTCTGAGGCTCTGCGGAGGGCTGGGGCCGGAGGGGTGGGGGGTGGGGGGTGCTCAGCTGTTACCTCCTGCTGCGTTCCAGCGGCCAGGGGGCAGGTGGTGAGGTCGATGTGGTCTCCAGCAACCTTGTTCTTCCGGCAGGCTGTGCTCTCCATGTCTACCGTCAGGTAGTACTTGATGCCAGCCACCAGCTGGGGATGGAGGGTGGGGGCAGGTCAGGGTTGCCTGGAGACAACCCTTGGTCCTGACCTCTCACCTCCCTCCACATTGTTCCATGCCCCCGGGACACGTTCAGCACTGTGGCCTGGGGGTTTGGACCTGGTGTGGAGATCCCCAGCAGAGGCCTAAACTGTGCCAGGAGCTGAGATCCACTTGCACACAGCTTCCCGAAGCCTGGGCAGACATGCCACCCGAGCTGCCCACTGTCCCCAACTGCCTCCCCTCCGCCCCCAATCCACCCTGTTAGGGCAGGGACTTCAGGAGGCAAGTGAGGCGGGTTGCGCAACACAGGAGTGAGTCTTGTGTTCCTTTGAAATGTAGATATTTTGTCCATTATGGATTTTTGGAATTAATTTGGTTTTTTGTCTTTTGAGTTGTGGGGTTTTTTGTTTTGTTTTGTTTTGTTTTAGACAGGGTCTTACTCTGTTGCCAGGGCTGGAGTGCAGTGGCATCATCATAGCTCACTACAACCTCAAACTCCCAGGCTCAAGTGATCCTCCTGCCTGAGCCATCCCAGTAGCTGGGACTACAGGCAGGGACCACCACACGCAGCTGATTTTTCTATTTTTTGTAGAGATGGGGTCTCACTATGTTGCCCAGGCTGATCTCTAACTCCTGGCCTCAAGTGATACTCTGGCTTCCACCTCCCAAAGTGCTGGGATTACAGGCTGAGCCACCAGGCCCAGCCCATTAATTCTGTTTTTTAATACAGGGTGTCCCCAAAGTCACCCTACATAGGGAAATGGGAAATTATAGCTCCTGTTGTATTGGCAAATTATAGCTACAATTGCCCATTTTCCCTACGTATGGGCAACTTTTGGGGTGCCCTGTATTGTAGGAAAATGTTACTTTGATTGTTCGTGTGGCACCCCCTTCACCTTGCACCCGGGCAGTGCCTCTGGCCTCCCGCCTCTGCCCTGGTCTGCCCTGGCCTGTGCCCCTGCCCCGGTTACCTGCCGCTCCGCCTTAATGATGTGCGTGTCGCGAAAGTAGTAGAGGCTGTTGCTGCCCATGTTGTAGCTGGCCACAGCCGCCTGCGCCGCCTTCTGCACCTGCGGGTCGCTAATCGACAGGTCCTGGCGTTCTCCGACCAAGTGCCCCTGCGGCCGGGTCCGGGCGTCGCAGGACAGCGCCAGGAGGCAGAGCGCCAGCAGGGCCAGGCCCATCGACAGCGGGAGGTTGGGACGCGCCATGGTCGTCAGTGCCCAGCCCGCGGCCCGCGCCGCTTTTACCGGCTCGGCGGCCCTGTCCAGCCCCGCCCCACGCCCGCGGTGCGCCCCCGCGGCCCGGAGCTGGGGCGGGGCCTGGAGGCCACCGAGCGCCCGGCCAGCCGGCGCCGCCCGCGCTTTCCCTGCGCCCCAGCTCCTGCGAGGCTCGGGGAGATCCCGCGCAAGGCTGAAGGGGCAGCACACAAGCCCCTGTGTGCCCCGAGGCTCCCTGCCATCCAGGGCACACCCCGTCCGGGGAAGGAGAGGATGGCGACAGTCCCCAGCAACAAGTGCCACTATAGGGACAGTTTGCAGCAGCGCTGTCCAGTATGAACTAGCAACAGCAGCTATGATCGAGCTCTTACTATCGCCACATTTCCTAGTCGTGTGACCTTGGAGAAGTTATTTAACCTCCTACTGCCTCAGTTTCCTCTTCTGTAAAAAGGGTGTTGTGCGGAGTCAATGAACTGATATGGGAAGAGTGCTCAGAAGAGGCCTGGCGCTATATAGACAGCAGGTAAGTAGGAGACATTACTGCACTGAGCCCGCACCGTTCAGCTCCCACAGCCAGCGAGAAGTGGCAATGACTAATGTCCCCACTTTCCAGAGGAGGAAACAGCACAGAAGGGAGAATTGGTTTGCCCAAGGACACCAGCAGTCTAAGTCAAATCTCTGCTCTTAAAGCAGACTGAACCCAAAGGATAAGAACGTGTTAGAAGGAGGGGGCTGTCACACCAGCTCTGCCATTTTACTGCCCGGGTGACTTTGAAGAAGTCCCTCGACCTCCCAGAGCCTCAGTGTTCTCGTCTGAAAAACGGTGACAATTCCTATCTCCTAAAGTTCTTCTGACATTGATGGCTCAAGACTGGGTCACCTGTAGATACAGAGGGTATGTGCTGGAGGTACCAGCAAGATAGGGGCCCATAACGTTTCTGAAACAACCCAACAATTAATACATAAACAGCAGCATTGAAGGAGTCAACATGGGAGAAGTCTGGATTCTGCTGAAATTCCTTATCCTCATGTCAGAGTGCAGCATAGTTCACGCTTTTACCCAGTGTTGCCGGGGGACAGGTGCTTATTATCCTTGGGGCACTAAGATCTTGTCAGTGCTTAAAGCCTCCAACTTAACTGGGGCTTGGAAGAGGGACTAGTTTACAGTACCTGACAACCAATTGGTGCTTAGTAAGTGGTAGTGATATTGTGATGAACAGTAAAGGAGGCATCAAGCATATCACACATACCCCTCCAATGCTGGGCCTCGCAGAATCCGGGGCCACCAAAGGAAGTGATTTCTTACACAGAGACCTGGGCCAGAGCGGGTCACTGCCCAATCCAGCTGCCGGCCTGCTACCCCACCCCCCTCAGCCCAGCTGTGAAAAACAAGTCCTGCCACCTCCCTGGGATTCCAAGGAACAGTCACAGGCTTGTTAGAGCTCAGGTGTCTGCCTTAAAAGGACAGACTCCAGTTTGTGGGAAAGGCCCAGAAGGGGCCCTGAGCTGCAGGAGCCTGTAGAGGAAGAGGCCCAGGATCACACAGGGGTGATGTGGAAGAGGCAGCCCCAAGGGGTTCCCCCAGGTCTGCTCTCCTGTCACTTGGAGCTCAGCCATGGCCACACATATCTCCAACAGCTCCCTGGAAAACTAGCCAAGGCCCCGTCTCCGACTTACCAAGAGCCAATGGTGCCCAGCTGACTGGCACTGTCCCTACCTGTCACTGCTTCGTACTGATGCCGAAGGGTCTTTTGCACCATAGCCTAACAGTTTCCAAGGACCTTTCACCCACTGGCTAACTCTCACAAGCACCCTGGGGTAGTAAGCATTATCTTCATTTTGCAGATGAAAAATGTTAATCAGAGAGGTCAGGACACTTGTCTAAGGTCGCATGGCTAGAAGTGGTGGTGAGAAAAGAGAGAGGGGGAAGAGAAATTCACAATTACTAGGCTTTGTGCCAAAACTTGTGCCAGGGCTTTGACATAGGTTCTCTCACTCTCATAACAGCTCTGCAGAAGCAGTGATTACTCCCTTCTGCAAGGAGGAAATGGGAGGTCAAATGGGAAGGGTCAGTAACAGGGCCTGCAGTGGCATCCATATGCCAGTGACGTTGGTGTGTGAGTCCTGGGCTACTCTACAAGGATACGAGGTCTGCTGTGCCGGGCTGGAAGGGCAGGGGGGCTCCCTGGGGGTGGGGCATCCCTGGGAGGACTTTCCCAGAGCCTGGACTCTATCTTGTCTGGACCACTTTGGCTTCCAGAAGGAGGCTTGGGCCAAGCATGAGCTTGAGGTTGGCCCAGACATCCCAACCCAGGTTGCCCACAGCACCCCTCTCTTGCCCCTGGCCTGATGGGTCTTCCTGACCAGGATAGGGCCCTGGGATCAGGTCCTCCATGGCCTTTTTGCTGCCCCAAAAACCTCATTCTTTGAACCTTCAGCTGGGAAGAGGATATTTCCTCCTCTGGAGCTCTGCTCCCCTTTCCTTGTCACACCACATCCTAGAAAGGAGACCTTATGACAAGGTCGGTGATCCAACAGTGACTAAAGTTCCCCTCTGTGGAGGAGCTCTCTTAAGTGCCAAGGGCTTTGCGTTGATGAGCTGGTTGAATCTTCACAACTTGCCCTGGCTGACAGAGGAGGAGACTGCAGCTCAGGGCAGTGAAGCAACCTTCTGCTCCCTATCACACAGGAAGGAAAGGCCCGGAACCAAGCCTAGCTGGCTCTTCAAGGCTGCCATCAGTCAAGGCTGAGAGTGACAGTAGAGAGCCTGGGTCCCTGAAGAGAAGGGGGCAACGTGGAAGGGGGCTGACCATCATGAGCACCTACTGGGGGCCTTCCACACCATCTGGCCTGCCCCTGGGCTGGGTAGAGGTGTCTTGGGCTTGTGTTGGTCCAGGTCACCTCCCCCTACTTCTTTTCCAGAAGCAGCAGGATCCCTTCAGGGACCCAGAGTGCATGGGCTGAGTCCACCCCAAGCTCTCACCTGGCTCTGAGCACTCGTAACTAGACTGGCTGAGGGGGGCAAGCCCTGACTGGGTAGAGCAGGTGGTGGAGCAGGTGGTGGGATTGGGAGACACTATTTGCTGGGGTCAGTATTTGCTGACTTCCAGGCCCACTCACGCCCCAGGCTAGTGGGTGGCCAGGTACATCCTGTTGGGCACTGTGGGCTGACACTTAGATAACCTGACTCCTACTCTTCACCACCCAGCTCTGCTTTCTGCTCCAGCATTTCAGGCCTTGGTCCCTTTGTCCTGCCAGCTGAGTCAGGGATGGATCTCTGAGAGGTCACGCTGTCACAAGGTACATTCTAAATGTCCTTTGTCACCTGCTGTCCCAGGACTGATCCAGGAACTCGTTTGGGATGCAGTATGAGCCCAGATAAAGGGTCCATGGCCTGCCCACCTGTCACAGGCACTGCCTGAGCCCCAGGGAAGAGGTGAGGAAGCAGGTTCCAGCCCCTTCGGAGACAAAGCCCTTGGGTGAGCCGGGGAAAGGCAAATGACGAGGAAACAAAGCAAACACACGACTTCCAGGGTTCCACCAAGGTCCCAGTGCCAGAACCAGGGGAGGCAAAACCAGGCAACCAGTGTGGGCAGGAGCCACGGGCAGGGCTTTGTGGAGGGGGAGGGAGTCTCCATTACCTCACAGAGCACCAGCAACGATGCAGCAGCATCACGACTGAGGTGTGGGGTGGCCATGACCCTGCCACGTCCCCACCTAAGCACACCAGGCTCGTGCGACAGGATCACAGCACCAGGGTCGAGGCTGAAGGCCCTCTGAGTGACCCTGGACCCATCCAGGAAAACATCAGAAACACAGTAGTCTGCAACTCCAGGGAGACCCCTGGTTACCACCTCAGTCTGGACTTCAGACTAGCACCCTGCCAGGAAGCAGCCTGTAGCACAAGCTGGGCCCTGCTGTGGCCACCTGGTGTCCTTTCCAAGGTGGGCCACTCACACTTCCCAGACCCAGCCTTGCACTGAAGCCTCATCCCCACTAATAATATAGTTTCTGACTTGTCACATAGTTGTTGCAGGTCTTTGGTTCTCCTTGTATCCTTCTATTCTGAGATGTAGCTAATATACAGAAAAGGGCCCAGTACATTCTTATTCAATTTCACTAATAATTACAGAGCAGGTATTACCAACTCACAGGTCAAGAAATAGAAACTGCCACTCCCACCCCAAGCCCTTCCACTCTTCGTGCCCTCCTCCCTCCCTCCCCCAAGGGTCTTCACTATTAACTTCCGCAATGTGCATCTCCTTCCTTTTCCTTAGTTTTACCACCTAACCAGGGATTCCCTAAGCAAGAATTTACATTTTAACTACCTAATGAAATCACACTATTTTGTTTTGCTTCATGTGCTCAGCACTGAGATTATTCTGTTGTGCAGAGCTGTCATTTGTTCATTTTTACTGCCACGTAGTGTCCCAAGGCATGAATGTATAATTAGTTGTCTACTCCAGTATTGATCGCCATTACAGCTGTTCTCTGTTGGGGGCTATTATTATAAAGCAAGCAGCTGTGAACACTCACGTAGGTCCTGGTGCAGGTGTTCGGGAGTTTCTTCCAGACACGGTCCTGAGAGTGGAACTACTGGGTCACAGGGTGTGTCATGTGTCAGGTTTACGAAGTTGACACCCAACTGTTTTCCCAGAGCGTTCGTGGCCACGTACCCTCCTACCAGCTGAGTATCAGTTCCTATTGTTCTGTTTTCTTATCAACACTTGGCATTTTCTGACTTCAAAAAATTTTTGCCAATCAGGTGGGTGTTCATGGCATTGGCGCCTCTGATTACTAATGAGTTGGAGCACCTTGTCACCCTTATTTACTATTAGGGGATCTTCTTTTGTGTCTGCCTTTCAGGTCTTTCACTCATTTTTCTGTTGTCTGTCTTTTTCTTGATTGCAATTCTGTATGTGCTCTGGATATAGTTTGAATCTTCTTAGTTTTTTTTGGAGACAGGACCTCACAGTGGCCGGGGCTAGAGTACAGTAGCATCATCACAGCTCACTGCAACTTCAAACTCCTGGGTTCATGCTCGCTTCAGCAGCACATATACTAAAATTGAAACCCCCGGGCTCAAGTGATCCTCCTGCCTCAGCCTCCTGAGTAACTGGGACTACAGGTGTGTGCCACCACACCTGGCTAATTTGTTTTAAATATTTTGTAGAGACATGGTCTTACTATGTTGCTCAGGCTAGAGAAGTTTCTAATATTAATGGAGTTGAATTTATCAACTTAGTTTTTCTGTACCCTGAGATCACGAAAACCTCCTATTTTCCCAATTTTTGTATTTGTGTTTTAGCAGCTGTCACTCTCATCTCACCAAACAGTAAACTTTATGAGGAAAATTCTGTTTTGTTTATACTGTAAGACAGTCACTCTCCAATGATGCTCTGATGAAGGAATAAATGCCAAGCAAGGGGGGGTAGTATACAGCCAGTGTTCCAACTGGTTCCTACAATAACTTCATTTTCCAAGTGGGGAAACTGAGGCTCAGACAGGCTGAATGACACGACCAAGAAAAATAGGGCTCCCAGGTCCATGAGTTTCCAAGCTACAGTTTTAGCCAGCCTGGCTACTTCCCAGCAGCAAGTCCATGGGCAAATTACTTAGTCTCTCTGAGTCCCAAGTTTCCTCACCTATAAAAAAGAATGATTTATTATCACGGAAGAAAAAATGTCTGCAAAGATCTTAGCTTCAAGCCTGGTTCAAACTACCAGTTCAAGAAAGAACAGGACTAAAATAAACGGAATAAAAGTGTTAACTCCCTCATGCCCTCCCAGCTGTGATGCCCATGCTCTCCCCTCCCTTCGAGAGCAGGGCAGACAGCAAGTGCCCTGCCCACTCCTCCCAGAAGCCAGGTGAACTCTTACCCACATCTGGTCCAACCTCTTCCTGGTACCTCTGACTCCCACTGACTTTTCCACCAGGTGTTGCCTAGCCCAGCTGTTGCTTATGTGACTTCTGGAACACCACAGTCCATCTGGCTCCCAGGAAGATATCAACCCACACTATCTCCCACATTACTCAGGGACTGAGACATTCCAAGGCGCCTGCCTGAGGCTCACATGGCTAGGGTGGCTGCCCTCTGGGAGTGGGAAGGGAAGCTGCTGGTTTCGGTCTACACTGATAAGGAGTGAGAGACACATGGTCAGTCCCTGGGGAAGAGGCAACTCTCAGCACACTTGCTTTTCAATGCACAAAGCCCAGTCATGAAGGCCACTGACTTTATTGATCTAAAAAACTTTACAAGGACAGTGACTGTTCTGCCAAAAAAGGAGCCAAATGGCATCAAACAGACTGGAGGTTAAAGGTAGGGGTGAGGGAAGGGACCAGGAATCCACTCAGGAAAGCTGGTAACTGCTAACACAGAACTGGCAGGGGAAGGAGAAGGGAGATGCATGCAAGAGCAAGAATTCCAAAAAAGTTGAAATGGTGAGGGGAGAAAACTCCCAAAAGACCCTGGAGTACATCGGAGGTGACTACGACAACAGCAATCTTTTCCTTTGTAGAGGACACTCAGCTGCAAATTCTGGAGACTCAATGCTGGGATTAGGGATTTCGGGATTCCCAGAGACCATCACAAGAAGGCGTCACACCACTCTCGAAGGCAGCCAAAGCAGTCCCGCGACTGCTTGGCATTGGCGCCACATGTGTCCTTCAGCCATTCCCGGAAGAGGTCTTCATCTTTCTTTAGCACCAGAAACTGGCCAAGGACCACATAAGCCTGTGAAACAGACAAAGTAAAGGGCATACTAAGTGCTCAGTGGGAGCTAACGGTTAGAAGGCTACTTTGTGGCATTCAAAGCATGTAAGCCTTGGAGACAGGGCAGGTTTTGCCCTTATCTCTTCTCCACCAGGTGGTCAGGCTCTGGCAGTCCCATAAGATTACACACTTCACTTTTCCGCACTCTCAACCAGCCAGGGAAAAAAATTTTTTTTTTTAACAAAACTAAGCTGGTATTGACTTATCTGCCAAAAAAGACTGTAGTCTCCCACTCCCGCCCCTCCGCGGTACGTGCACCCACCACACACCTTGTCAAAGCCCCTTTCCTCCAGCTTCTTGCCCAGGACTTCACCAATCCCAGCGAGGCTCCCCACTGGCTTTTCCCCCATAGGCTCTGCCACGAAATCTCGGTGCTTTTGGGACGTTGTCATCTTGATCAGGTTTAATCTGGGAATGCCAAAAAAAAAGGCAGGTTAGGGCCGAAGACCAGAAACTCACAAGGGCCCTTCAGCAAACTCACATTAAGAAGTAACTAGGCCGGCCATTATGGTGGCTTATTCGATTCCTCTCATTTCAGATGAGAAAACTGAGGTCCAGAAAGACACTTTTCCCCACTGTTCGGAAGAAAAATCTCTTTACTTCTTCGGGGACCTGGGTTTTGATATTGCCCCAGAAGACATACTATCCTGCTCTAACAGGTGGCAGGGCAGTGAGAAGTAGCCAGGGCCCGCCCTGAAGCTGTCACTCCATGACCTTGGCCAAGCAAAGAAGGCAACGATCCTGCCCGGAACAGCCACCTCGTGTGAAAAGCAAACGAAGAGTCTCTCTTCCCGACTCGCCCATTCACAAACGGAGGTGCGGACCGACAGCGCCGCACACCGGCTCTCGCAGTCAGGCGGGGTTCGCGCCGCGCTCCGTCCCGCCGGCCCCGCCCCCTCCGCTCCCACGCGCCGCGCCCCGCCTCCTCCCGCAGCGCGGTCGGACCCTCTCCGAGAGCCTCTGGCCCGCCACAGCGCTTGCAGCTTCTTTGTCCTCTCCTTCCCGCGCCCCCTCTAGCCTCCAGTCAGGGCCCTGCTCCGCGGCTCACGCTCACCTGCACCTCCAGTTCCCGTAACGGCTCCTCGCGCCACCCGGCCGCTCCCTCTGATAGCTCAATCCACTAGAACTTTCTCCAACTTCCGCTTCCGGGTCGCCTCAAGAGCTGCCTTTGGGAAAAAAACAAAAATCCCAGTTGGGCACTTCTAGCCACCGAGAGAGCCATAGAGTTGAAGCGCCTCGGACGTAGCCAGCGTCCTTAGTAGACGCGGCTTTCCGGTCCTTTGCGGGAAACCAAGGTGCCTTCTATGGTCTCACTACTCCAGCAGTTCCTCCGGTCTGAAGGAGAGAGGCCTCCAGGGAGAATACTCCTTGTCTCTGCTGCCCGGCACCCGGAACTCAAGGACTTAGGCTTGAGCGACCTGGCGGTGGGAAGAGTTAGAGGGACGGACAAGTCAGTGATAGGGTGGCCGGAAGGCTTCCGAGAGAGCGCCGGAAGTACAGTTTTCAGAAGGGTCCAAGCTAGACTGCTGTCGCCCTTCTCGCTGTTGGGCTAGGAGGACCTGTGAACACTGGAGGCCTGAATTCAAGCTGACGCCACTGTCGCGACCACCGAGAAGTTCTTTTTTTGTGCTTTCATTGTGTCAGCCTTGAAGTTAGTCGTGGAGGAGCCTCTTTCAACCTGGAAAACGGGGTTGCTCGGGCACTGCCCCTGGGAGCCGAGGGCCAGAGAGTAAGTGTGGGTCTTTCTCTAAGGGTCTTTCTTCCGGGTTGGGGGGAGGAAGACAAGGAATGACAACTAGAGATGCCACGTCTGAGTTTCCTTTGGAAACCCTCGGTCTTGGTGGTACCGGCTATCGTCTTCTAAGTACCCAAGTCAGAAGCCTGGCAAATGCCGCACACCAAGCCTGCTCACCTGATCTTTGGTTAACTCAGTCCTGGCTTGCACCATCGTGGTGGTCACCTAATTAGTCTCTAATTGTAGTGTGTTTCGAGATTGAGCAACCATATTGTGTGGCTGTACTAGACTTAGGGTGTACAAGCATGTTGAGGAAAATACAGTTTATCTCAGACTCCTTCCGGAGAGGTTGCCAGAGTGATTTCTTCGGAACATGTGTGTAGTTTTATGGTCACACCAATATTTAAGGTAATAGTCATTTTAATATGACTTATAATGTGCTGTCTTTACTGTCATGTTTTAAAACAACGCTGAGTTAGCTATTATTTTCTCTGTGGCTTACAGAAGTTAAACAGGCAGTAGCCGAGGTAGGATTTGAATCCAGGCAGTTAGACTTCAGAGCCCATGTTCTTAACCAGGACACTGTGTCATTCCTTAGTAAAAGGCCCCTCCCCATCTTCAAAACGGTCCTGGGTTCTGAGCCTGCCATCCAAGGAACTCAGGAGGAGGAGTTGACAGTCTCTGCATCCCTAACCACCCTGGGACAGGACCCAGCATGTCTCAGGCCACCAAGAGGAAGCATGTGGTGAAGGAGGTGCTGGGAGAGCACATGGTGCCTTCCGACCAGCAGCAAATCGTGAGGGTGAGTGGCACTGGGCACAAAGTGCTCTGCCCCCCCCCACTCTTTTAGGGCCCCTGGGGTGGGGGTAGGGTGCAGTGTGGCTCAGAGGGTGTTTGGTCTGACTAATGAGACTGATGCTTGGTCTCTCCTGAACCAGGTACTCAGAACCCCAGGGAACAATCTGCATGAGGTGGAGACAGCCCAAGGGCAGCGCTTCCTGGTGAGCATGCCCTCCAAGTACCGTAAGAACATCTGGATCAAGAGAGGTGAGAGAGGCATCCATCTAGGAGATAGAACCATTTCTTGTGGCCTTGGCTTTCCCCATTGCAAGCAGGACTGACTTTGCCTATTCTCTTCTTGCCTACAGGGGACTTTCTCATTGTTGACCCCATTGAAGAGGGAGAAAAGGTGAAGGCTGAGATCTCCTTTGTGCTCTGCAAGGACCATGTGCGCTCTCTGCAGAAAGAGGGGCTCTGGTAGGGTGGTCCCCTTCATCATTGGTTTTCTGGCTTCTGAGGGGATTGAATTCCTAGCTAGGGATTTGGGGGAGGGAAGAACATGGCATTTCAGGCAGGGCCAGCTGGAAATAGATCTTTTGCTGAGAGATTTCTCTATCCTCTTTGACCCTGGCTCTTCTCTTGGCACAGGCCTGAGGCCTTCTCTGAAGTGGCTAAGAAACACAACAACAACAGGAACAGGTGAGGAACAAGACAGGAAATAGGGGTTCACACATTCGTGCCTCGAGGGAAAGATAAAGCCTGTTTTTCCTATATGGGAGAGCTGTTGAGAGCTCCTGAATATGTAGTGTGATATGTGGTTATGTGAGTATGGCTTAAAGGTCAGATGCTCTACGTTAAAATCCTGGCTTTGCCACTTAAAGCTGAGTGACTTTAAGGGATTAAATTTTTAGATTTATTCAATCTAAGACTATTTCCTCATCTATAAAATAGAAGCTTTGTGAGCATTACAGGAGCTAATGCTTGTAAAATTGTTTAGTACAGTACCTGGTATGTAATATGTGTCCATTAGGTGTGTGTTGGTGGTAGTAGAATCATGATCATTCCTATCTAAAACCAATGGCTATAGCAAACTTTTGGGGTTGGGGGGAAGTCTTTACCCTGTTTGTTTGGCCAGGTTTTTCCCACTGTCTGCTCTGACTTTGTCCCTCATTTTAGTTTTTAAAGGGGTACTGCATTTTCATAGGCCTGTGGGACCCTGACTACTTGGTCAAATGATCCTCCTTTTTTTGGAACTTCTTGATTACAGATCTGGTTTTCCTAGAAGATGTTGGGCTAACTCTATTCTTTTTCCCCACACAGACAGACTCAGCCGGAACTCCCAGCTGAGCCACAGTCATCAGGAGAAGAGTCCAGCTCTGAAGATGATTCTGACCTCTTTGTTAACACCAACCGCAGACAGTATCATGAGAGTGAAGAGGAGAGCGAAGAGGAAGAGGCAGCCTGAGACCCTGGGACCCACTTCTGTACTTTCTCAGGGTCTAGTCCCTGGCTTTTCTAGGCTTGGACATTCCCAGGGTGCTCTGCAGACCTTCACCCCTGGATGGGGACAAGGCAGGGCCCCTGTCTGAACTGACCTTCTGACTTAGGAGAATTAAACCCCTGGTGGGTGGTGACTTGTACTGGTGTCCGAGTGGCTCTCTGTGGGGGAGGGAGACTTGTGGTGAAGTAAAAAGCTGTTCCTTGGTAGAGGCTTCGCGGGCCAGTGGGCTGAATGGGTAGGAAATGAGGAATGACTAGAAACTTTCCCAGGTGCTTTGTTCCCCCGCTTCACTGGGCACTTAGTGCCCAGCCCTGTACTGTGCCTCCTTGCATGTGTTTGGCAATTGGGAGCAGTCCTACTTCAGCGCCTGCTTGCAGTTAGTACTGATTCAGGCATTCAGGATTACAGTCCTAGGACGTGATGCCTATCTGCCTCTGAGAGACACTCAGGACGAATCCCATGGTGCCTCATGAGCTGCTTTCCCTGCCTTTCTAATCATCCGGTTTTATAGGGGTGCTCACCTCCATGCTGCCGTGTACATCCCCTGGTTGCACCCCATCTCTCCCCCACCCTTAACTATCTCTCGCCACCAGAATGTGTGCTATGTGATCAGCTAAACTCTCTATATCCTTAACATTGTTTTGAATGGTCCCTCCATCTCAATTGTTTTGGAACCTGGTTATTCCCTGAGGATGTCAATTTTCTTATAACCTTTTAAATGGAGGCTGCTCTTCAATCCTCACCCTTTGTGTCCAGCACCAGAAGGTAGGGTCGGTCGCTTCTTTGTGGCTACTCAGACCACTTCCCACCAGGTCATCCCATATCTCCTTTGAAGCTTTTGCCTCTGGCTATGCACTCTCACTGCTGGCATTGACCTTCAAGTCAGTGTTCAGTCACGGAAGAGTTTACTTCTGGCTTAGAGTCTTCCATTTCTGCTGTGTCATTTTCTACATCTCATGGATAGAGCCATTCAGCACTGTGGCCCCCTGATTCTTGATATCCCCAACACCACTGCCCTTGTCTTCTATCCCAGCCTGCTGCCTCCATCCCTAGTCACTCCCTGGAGCCCCAGTAGAACCTTTTGAATTTAAATTGCCATACATTCACCACCTCCTAGCTTTCTTACCTACTTGCCGAATCACCCCTCTGCACAAACTCTTTATCATTCTCCACACCCCCTGACATTGTCATCATTAACCTCCAGTCTTCATCTCCATCCTTGTGTAGCACCGATTCCATGCTCTACACCCTCCACTCCCCTGTCTCCCTCAATTCTGTTCATCTAGTAAAACCCTAATCCTCAGTGAACTCAGTCATTCACCTCTGTGCTCAAACCCAAGTCATTATACAGAGAGAAAGTAACAAACGTGGCCCAACAATTGTACCTTAAATTCATAATCACAAACCTCAAGTGGATACTCGGCACTGCCCAGCAGATCTACTCTGGGATGTCTATTTCAGAACTTCTGTTTCATCTACCAATTTCCCCTTCCTGTCGTAGTTACAGACCACGGCTCATGCTTCATTATGAAATAGCCATTGGAGGGAACATATCCTCCCCATTGCCAGCTCTCTTCCCATCCTTTTAGTTCCCATTGTAAAAAGTGGTACTTAAAACTTTCCTCTTGTACTTTGGAGCGTCCTCTTGCTTTCTTAAGAACTTTGTTGGGGTTTTTGTTGGTGGTGCTAGGGTTTGGTTTGGTTTAGAGTTTGGGGATTGTTTTTTTTTTTTTTCCTCTTTTTATTGCACGTGATATGTTAGCATCAGATGTGCTATAAAATCTCCCATTTCTGAAACAATCACAATAACCTGTACTGAGCCCACATCCTCTCCAGCTACCACTTCATTTGTCTGCTCCTTATTTCACTTTCTCCTATGTTTGCTTAATGTGGCTTTAAATGTACATATACATATGTGTGTATACACATGTATAAAATGTATATATAGAATATATAAAAATAAACCAGATGAGTTAAAGGTATATACGTGCATATCTTTTAACTCATTTGAAGTTTGTTTTTTATGGGACGTAGCGAGCTAACTTTTTGTAAAGATAAAGCCACTTGCCTGTATACCATTTTTTGAACAGTTTATTCTTTCTTCACTGGAAATATATTTTAAAAAATAAAATAAGTTCCTGCATATATATGGATCTCTTTTTGGGAATTCCAGTCCTACACCACATTTTATAGTATGATTGATACTTGATAGCTCCCCTACTCTGCCATTCCTTAGCCATTTCATATTTTCATATTTTTCTCTTACATAAGAATTTTATTTATTTATTTTGAGGCAGGGTCTCACTCTGTCGTCCAGGCTGAAGTGCAATGACACGATCACAGCCCACTGCAACCTTGAACTCCCAGTCTCAAGTGATCCTCTCGCCTTGGTCTCCCAAAGTGCTTGTCAATTTTCATTTAAAAATCCTGTTTTGATTTTCATTGGCATGATTGTTTTAAAAAACAGTTTGATTTTGAGAGAAGTGGTATCTTAACAGTTTTGATCTTCCTATTCAGAAATGAGGTATGTTCTTTTGTTAAGGTAGTGTTGTCATTTGGGCCTTTACATTTCTAGTTTGATTTATTCTTAAATCTTAGGAATTTTATAAAATTCCTAGTTACTCATCATGAATGGGATCTTTTGAAATTATGTTTCTAACTGTTACTGGCGTCCATCTCTGTCCCATCTTTGTGTTGCTCACACCTTGTTGATCTGATTGGATGTTCGTCAGTTCTCAGGGTTCTTCAGGTGGTTCTCTTGGCTCTCTAGGTGTCAAATCATATCCTGCCAGTGGTAATTTTATCTCATCCTTTGCACTCATTTCTTTTTCTCGTAAATCAGAAAGGCCAGGACCTCCGCTATATTGTCTAATGGAACCCCTGATTGTTCCTCTCTTAGTGGGAATGGTTCTCATGTTTCATCATGAAACAGGGTTCTTGCTTTAGGTTTCTGGTAGGTAACCTTCCTTAGGCTCAAGATGCTTCCTTCTATTCCTAGCTTACTGGGGTTTTTTTCCTTTATTCAACAGTGATGAATTTTGACATCTATGGAGATAAGAGATTTTATTTCATTTTGTACTGAATT